TCATCATCACATTCAGCCTAAACTTGTCCACTGCTGGACGTAGGCCTCCCCCATCGATATTTGGATATCTGCCATAATTTCTCAAAACAATTCTGTATCTAAAAGATCTAGTATAAAATTAATAAAAAAACATTTGTAGTAACAGTTGATATTTTCATAAAAACAAAACTTGGCAAATACGAAAAAAAAAAACAAGAGCGTTAGTTTAAATGATAAATACGAAACTTTTATTTATTCGCATAAATGTTGGGTTAATTTCTCTGTGTATTTGCAAAGACAAATATTTGCCAAAGTTATACAAAAAGAATTCATCCGAGGGAATTTGTTTTGGAAAATACATTTTTTTTCTGTAAAGATAGAGTTAATTCTATTTTCTATAATTTAGTAAGCACAATTTCTAGTATCCCTTATTATATAGAAACTCAGAAAAGTAATTCTAAAGAAAGGAGAATTAGATTCAATCACATAAAATAGGTAGGGTCAAGAAGGGTTTAGTATTACACCAGGGAGACTTATAAATATGTGACAAATCTGTGATCATTTTGCCATTAGCCAGACAGACATATATCTATCGATATTAATATAAAATTCTAGGTAAAGTGTATTTGCATCCATGATAACGAAAAAAACATTTTTTTTCTGCATGCTTCTCTATCCATGAGGTTGCGTTTATTCCGAGTATTCTTAGAAACTGCTGGAACAATCTTGACGGGACTTTGACCGGTAGTTAGATGATGTGAATAAGTATATTAGGCTACTTTTTCTGCGTTGGAAGTTGCAGGCGACCGCTAGATCAATATAAAGATGCTATAAGTTATAGTTATTGAAGTAAATTGTTCCATAAGCTTTGAAACATTCGCAATGTTAGCTGTAAGAGAACTCTTTTAGAGTTAAGCTCACCTGTACATCACTGTATTTCTATGTAATGTTACATTATGTACTTTAAACTGTGTACAAAGTTTAAAATAAATAAATAAATAAACATATTTGTGGACATAAATAAAAATGCTTCGCATGAAAAATTTAAAATTGAAAGAAAATATAAACATTAATAACGAAGCTGTAATATTTAAGTAAGAAACATAAGAATGGAATCGTAATAAATTTCCAGACAATTCTTCGCAATATCGCAGAGTTCTCACAAATTTATCGGCTCGATTCACAGAGTGCAAGGAGAAAGAAAAAAAAACTACCACAGATGCATTTCCTTGCCCCGAGGGCGTGCTCCGATCTTACTATGTTTTACCCGTCCCGCTCAATAATGTACGAAATTTGATTTCAAAAAGACACAGAGTAGTGAAATTCAGACTAATTTGATTATTTATAATAACTCATTAACCGATAAAAACACAAATAATATTAAAATAATACAACTGTTACAGCTAAGTTAAAAATAAAAAAAAAGTATTTACCCCCCGGGTTTTTTTTAAACCTTTGCTTGTGAATGGTACTTGAATAAATATCGTAAGGATTAGAACTAAATAAGTGCCGCGTGGGAAGTTCTTTAAAAAAGCATAAATGGAATGACGCAAGATTTATCGAACTGCAAATATAACATAAGTATTGTAATTAAGCAATAATAAACTGAAATGAATACAAATAATATACAGTTGTATATTTTGTTTTGCAAAATAAACTTACGGTAAGATTTATTACATCATTTAGTAGGCAATAAATAATATAATGGCAAACAATAGCAAGCATTTAATTTAACGAGAAGATACCGCAGACAAATAAACAGAGCGAAACAACCCAAGCGGCAGTGGAATTACACGGTTATTAATCAGTTTGGATGGTACAAAACAAAACTGGCATTCAGTCATAACCGAAAGCCGAAAACTTGAAATTTCCTTGCTTTAGTACTCTCGAAGACGAATAGTCTTTAGACTTACTTTGATTTGGTTTATTATAGTATAGTATACTATAAATTTGTTTAGTCTACATTTATTACTATCTATAACAAAATTATTATATTATTGTTTGCACGATTCTTATAAGTTTAATAAAGTCTTGGCCCGGCTCGCCCGGTGAAATACCACGACCACACAGAAGACAGGCGTGAAGTGGAAGCAATTCCGCGTTTCGTCTGATGAGTGTGCGTCCCGGAGGCCTAATCTAGTCCTCTTTTCCTTCCCACACTTTTTCTTATAAGGAAAGGATGGAAAGTGGACTTTTCGGATAAGTGGATGCATGGAAAGGGAAAATATTTTTCCTTTCTGTACATCCTCTCCTCCGTCGATCAAAGGTAGGCAACGCATATGCAATTGCGTATGTCTATGGGCAACGGTCACTTTGCTATTTCAGAGATTTCCGGGGTATGTTATAAATAAATAAATAAATAAAGGTTTATGAATTTGCGAAATAAATTAAAAATCTCGGAGATAATTCCGCTTTATTAGAATTAATTCAGCAACAGCTGAACAAAGTTGTGTAAATCATCGTGTAATATTGTTGAAAATCTGAGTGATTTAGAACCTTCCTGTAATTTTGTAGCCTTTAATTTGGCTGCTATATGTACATTTTGCTCCCATTTTGCCGATTAAATTTTAATAGAACTTAATATCATTATTAATTGAGTGCTGCCGTGCTTGAATTAATTGCAGTAAAGATACATGTATATTTAAGAAGTTAGATATTAAAAATTAAATCTAATAACAATTAAATGAACTCCACTAATTCTTGACAATGTTACTATTTGATGTTTGAGCTAATTGCAATAGTTTGAAGTTAATTTATAGATAATTTGAAAGTTGAATAGGTTATACTGAGGAAAATTAAGTCCATTCCGCCTAACGAGTTTCTACGTCAAATAAATTACAGTTTAATATCCTGACCCTTCGTGAAGTAATAATTACTCTGTATTTAAAATAAAAAAGAATAAATAATATTTTTAATTTTATAAATTTTTATTTACGTAACATAAAGTTGATAAAATAAATAAGAGTAGTAAAGTTGAAATGTGTTATAGCACATAATAAAACGAAATTAATAAGAAATTAAATTTTACAATTATTTTATTAATTGCAAATTCAACAAACATATTTTATGTTATGTCTACATATTCTAACATAAACGATTAATTTTAAGAAAATACGTCTCCTTTCAAGAAGGCTTTAGTGAGTATGGAAACGATCCTACAACGTGAAATTGGCACATGACCTGGAATGTCGTAGTCTCTGGACTACAGAATAACAATTTAATAATTGTTTTATAGGCCCTAACTTAGGGTAGGCTCCGAGCCCCTCGGTGGGACTTATAGTAAGCTGATATTTTTTTTTACTTCTCAACGTTATCTATGTTGATTACTAGAATTGGCCAGCCCTTTTTTCCTTTCCTGTGTAATTTATAGCTTCCGATATTTATACTTTACGTAAGTACTACCCTTTCATCAGAATGGTATACGATCTAACAAAATGTTCGTGCCGAACCATGAATTGTACATAATTTCTTCGTATTACTTTTTCAAAAATATTTAACAATCGAAAATATATATATGTAACATATATATTATTTCTTTACTAGCTGTAGCCCGCGACTCTGACCGTACGGTATCCAAACATATTACGTAGCCTATGTGTTCTTTCAAATTATGTTCTACATATATAGCATATTTCAGCGAGATCCATTGAACTGTTCCTGAGATATCTTCAAACAAACATCCGTTCATCTTAACATTCTCTTTTATAATATTGGTAAGAAGTAAGATATCCGAGAAAACAAAGCTGAAGGGCACAAACGACTTTGTGTGTTTAACTTAATCGTTATTTCACAAATTAGCTTTGTTTTTATTTAACAACGCAATACCAATGTTTGAACAATACAAACATATTAAGTATTGACATGTTTGAACAAACATTTGTATCGTATAACAAATAGTTTGCCACTGTTCCTCGAAATACGAGATAGGGCGAATGTGTATGTAATCATAGTATAATGAACTGTACATAAACCTATGTATTATACGTGAATAGTTCAAAGCATAGATATTTTTCATCATTATTTGAACTAAATATGTGACATATTATTTTGATGTATGCATATATAGCGTTATGTATGAATTTACGAACGTATATTTATTGTAAATTTTTAACAATATTCGCAGAATATTAATTTTATGATCAATGTTTTGCAGAAATATTGATGATTTAGTTCGAATCTCGGTTTACGAATGTATTTTAGATAGCTGTAAAATATTAATTTATTTTAGGTATATTAACCAAAAATTAATATTGATAGTTGAAAAAACCTTGTCACAACGAATTGCTTATCGTTAAAAGAAAGGAGTTCCAAAAATTGATATATTAACCCTTTAACTGTCAGAAGCAATTTTGTGTCAGGGTAAAATAAAATCTCGTTTTTTTGGTTTCTTGTGGGTACTTTAATAACTTTTATCAAAGAAAAAAAAAACAATCATGTTTAGTGGAAGAAAAAAAAACATGGTAGCAATATCCTTGCCAATACCAGTATGAGCTCTGTTAAATTCTGTTCATGGATTTTCCTCTTGCATTTGGTGAAATAATTTAAAACATGTTTTATTGTATTGGTGCTACAAAGTGGAAAAATTCATAAAAATATTGGTGGCACACATATTGCCACCACCAGCGAAAGGGTTAAACTAGTGTTGTTTTATGTGATCGCTTGATATCTTTATTAATTTTATTTTTCTTTTCAGGTAGAAGGTATGCGGGCTCCAATAGTACCCGCTACCTTGCTACTGCTGGTGTTTGCACTGGAGTTAGATGCGACAAGACGAAAACAGAAGGAAAAAGTTGTTCATACCACGATAAATATTTGCGACATTAGTGATAGAGATTCAAAAGTACATTGCTACTGTGAATTCAGTCAAGATTTCAACGAAGCAGTTAAAACTGAATGTTGGGTATTCAATGGAGGAATTGAAAAATCCGATAATCTATGGTCTAGTTTTACTTCTCAGTCGAATATAGAAAATTTAGCTTTCAATGTACGAGCCGATGGGGGATTAAATTTTGTACCCTCTAATGTTTTATTATATCTCAAAAAATTACGAAGTTTTAGTATTAAGTATAGCTCTATTGTAAATATAGAAACTTATTCCTTTGCCAATCTAACTAATGTACAAGATATTACATTAACAAAAAATCAGATTGTTAACGTTGAGAGACATACATTTTATAACTTGCCTAATTTAACTGTTCTCACTTTGGATGAGAATAAAATAACAAGACTTGTTTCAGAGACGTTTTATGAATTGCCGAGTTTACATAAATTGTACTTAACTAGTAACAATATAAGTGTCATAGAAGATGGTACATTCAGACATCTTGTAAACTTACTAGAACTAGAATTAGATAGGAACAACATAAACGAATTAAAGAAGGAATGTTTTGATGGACTCGCGAATCTAAAGCGTCTAGACTTGAGAAGAAATAAATTGACCGTATTGAAATCGTTTACATTCACTGAGCTTTGGAATCTTCAAGAGTTGCTACTGGATTATAATGAAATTCATGCATTAGCACAGAGGACTTTTGATGGGTTGTCTTTATTAAAGAAACTGAGCTTAAGTCATAATAAACTTATAGCTTTGATTAGCGGATTGTTTGAAGGAGTTAGAGGTCTATCGGCGCTGGACTTACGACATAACAAACTGAAGAGATTCACATATGATAATGTTAAACCTATTTATGACAATTTGAAAAATCAGAAGAGCTACATCTATTTGGAAGGTAAAAACACATAATAATTATTAACCACTTTTTTATATCAAAAGGTGGCAAACGAGCGAGCGGCCACATGAAATCGGTGAAATAGCGAAGTGACCGTTCCCCATAGACATACGTAATTGCATATGCTTTGCCTACCTTTAATCAACGGAGGAAATGATGCACAGAAAGAAAATATCTTCCCTTTCCATGCATCCTCTCATCCGGAAAGTGCAATTCCACTTCGCATCCTTTCCTTAAAAGAAAAGGCGTGGGAAGGGAAAGAGGACTAAATTAGGCATCCGGGACGCACACTCATCAGACGAAACGCGGAATTGCTTCCATTTCACGCTTGTCTTCTGTGTGGTCGTGGTATTTCACCGGGCGAGCCGGGCCAATTCGTGCGAAGATGTTAAAGCGGGCTGTGCCACTGTTGTGGTAGAGCCCGCTTTAAGCCCCGAGCTTAAACTAAGCTTAAATTAATTTTAAACTTTTATTGCACAATTTTATCACTTTAAATTTAAAATATACTAAAAAAACAATAGGCAATAAGTTAACAAAATGTTAGTTAAAGTAGGTCAACCATATATGTACATACATTCTGCTGAATGTTGACTTAACGTCGTGTCCCATTCTCTTTGAATAAAAAAACATTTTTTTGTACAAGTTCGTTTCGAAGAAGGAAACAAATAATTAGTTTTTCTATATATTTTTGCAGGTAATGACTTCGATTGTGATTGTCATTTGGCATGGATGCACAAACTACGTCATGAGGCCAGAAGCATAAAAGTACGGACATCACTAGAAAACTTTGTCTGCAAATTCAACATCGATCCAGCTATGAACTCTCATTTGACTTATTATGAAAAAACTATTATTGACACTAACAATATATTTATAGACGAGAAACCTCCGGATAAGGAATATAAAGATACAGATGATTTACAAGATGATATAGACGAGGAATTCATTGAGGAACCGAAAGTAATTAAGAAGGAAAATGAAAGAACTCTGTTGCAGATTCCTGTTGAACTGCTACCTTGTCCTGCAGCGGTAAAAAGTGTTACCGATAGAACGTACACTTATCCATCACAAAATGAAGCTAAAGATTACAGAAATTTAATTCTCACATCTAAATCAAATAAATTCGATATATCACTTGTTACTTTTTGTTTTAATTTAATATTTTTAAACAGACTTTTAACTTTTTAAAGCCAAATATATATTTTGTATGAGTTTTCACTTAAATTATGTCTGCGGATAAAATCCATTATAAAGTTTTTATAATTTAACAGCCGAGCTTTAATAACTTTTTGTTTGTTTAATTTAAGTATGTTTTAAATTAAAATTATAATTATAATAAGATTATTTTTATTAAAAAAAGTTTTATTATTTTCATCGAGTATTTTTTATCGTGTAAATAATTATTTTTAAGGCATGTAAAAATGTGATATAATTATAAGAAAATAAATCTTAATTAATAATCACAATTATTTATTATTATAATAATTCAGAGTCATAACACTATCCTTCATGATATACAAACACGGCTAAACACTCACGTATATACGTCCGGTGGCGGCACCGACTAGTTTCGAGCCCATCGGGGGCCCTTCATCAGGATGAGTGGTACTGGTATTATTTCACGGACGCGGCCCGTCGCTCACTCAAGCTCAGCAAGTTGAAGGGCCCCCGATGGGCTCGAAACTAGTCGGTGCCGCCACCGGACGTAAATACGTGAGTGTTTAGCCGTGTTTATATATCAGTTTAGTATAATGTCTCACGAAAGTTTGAATAATTTACTATCCTTCATATTTAATATTCTCAAAGATTACGTCATAAAATGTTATCTATTTTGACAACAATCATGTTTAAAGTAAATAAAAATATGTATGTAAATAGTTTGTAAGTACAAAAATTGTACATAATGTGTTAAACTGATGTATGTATTTAAATATTTTTTTCATTACCTTATGTGTTTGCAATATAATCGTGTCTATATGACAAACCCTCTTGGTGAAAAAAGGTGAAAAAAGTTTCATTGCCATTCTCAGAATCAGTTTAATGATTAGAGACCGCATTAGTGTCGATATCTCATTGTATACTTAATGACTTCTTCAGTAGCATTTTAACAACTCATAGTATGGCACTAAGACATGTATTTCAAACTACCGTGGGTTTCTGAGTCCAAAATTTCTGTTTAAAACATATCGTTATATCTATTATTATCTTTGAAATGTTTGAAATAGCAATATGTTTTAAACATGGATTTTCGTCTCAGAAACCCGCGGTTAATCATTTGAATTTACTAAACTTTAAAACCAGTTATTGGACGAGATTCAAATTAAATCAAACTATGAGCTCTCTGGACTCTAAAGGTCAGACAAAACATCACTTTTTACGAAGTTAATATAACATAAGACTGCGCAAATTCTATGCATGATAAGTAACTTAAATATCCCAAGTTATAATGAAATTAAATTTTTAAATTTGCTCATGTCTTAAAAATGTTTAAAAATTTTATCTTTTTATGGTTATAACATGATTGTACATATATTAAATGTAAAAATCTACGTGTGACAAGTAATTATAAGTTAGTTCATAAGTATGTGTTTTGAATTTGATAGTTTTTTTTTTTAATCGAATATTTATTTTTATTATTTTTAATAAAGTAATTAAACGTTCATGTTTCAATGGTGCATATATTTATTTCCCTTTACAAGTGTGTGTCAATTTACCTAAATACATGACTTTTAGCCGACTTCAAAAAGAAGGAGGTTTTCAATTCATCTGTATGTTTTTTTATATGTCTTACCGCGTAGCCCCGTCCCTGGTGCTCCGATTTGGAATTGTTTTTTTTCTCATCGAAAGGTTTTGCTCGCAGGTGGGTCTCATTTTTTGGTAGAAAAAATTACACTACGTGATAAATTGAAGTAATTTTCACAAATCTATTATCCGTGATTGGCTCTGAAAGTACAAAAGCGTATTATCGTCCTTTATATTCCCCTTGAAGAATGTGAGCTACTCGTAAGTATATTTTTATTAAGATATTTGTCATCAAAAATTCACGTTAATAGCTTTCAGCGACATCTTTTTCCCGTGGGTTTCTGAAACCAAAATACCTTTTAAAACATATTGCTATCTCTGTTTCGTCAAAGATGACAGGCAAGACGATATTTTTATACAGGTACTAGCTGTCGCCGCGACTTTGTCCGTGTGGATATATAAAAAAAACTTAACATATTGATAAGTTAAATAAAAAGCAGCTCTTCAAGGCATAAATTCGAAAAAAAAAATAAAAAAAAAATTAATAGTTTACTATGTCCGTCTCCTGAATCTAAGCAACCTCCTCACCAATTTTCAGCCATATGGGTAAAACCGTTCTTGAGTTATAAATAGTGTAACTAACACGACTGTCTTATATAATATATATATATATATATATATATATATATAGTTTTGGTCTCCAATGGTTAGTCTATTGATATTAGCAAATTTATAAAGACTCAAATCATGTCAGCACACGTTAAGGAAGGAAATAACAAGAAAATATGTATTTAACCTGATGTAAAATCTTTACTACAAATATTTAGTAAAAGAAAAAACTAGGAAAAATAATTCTATTCCAACTTGAAGAAATTGTAACATAATAAAAACATCCAACCTGTTGATATTACCGACTGAGATTTAAATAGGGCGGAACAAAATTATTGGGGCGTTAAGAAATCTCTGAAATTGAACAGAGCATAAAATATTACGTACCTTATAAAGCGTAATTTTCTTAAAATTAGAACAACATAACTCACATCCATATTCCAGAGGTAGGTAGGTCTCTACCACGAACCTCAATTTGGCGCTCTTCTGGCCGTTTCGATTCTTCTACAAATCGCTTCTTAAAATTACATTGCAAAAATTAACAAATATCAGGTTTGAAGTCTTTTCATCATTATCAGCTCACTATACGTCCCCACCGAGGGGCTCGGAGCCTACCCTAAGTTATGGGTGATTAGGCCATAGTCAACCACGCTGGCCAAGTGCGGGTTAGTTGACTTCACACATATCTTTGAATTTCTTCTCAGATATGTCCAGATTGCATCACGATGTTTACCTTCACCGTAAGAACATCGGCTAAATGTTCATATGTAAATCGGAAATCGAAAAACACATTGGTACATGGCGGGATTGGAACCCAGGACCTGCAGATTGCAAGTCAATTGCTTGACCCCTGAGCCACCGACGTTCATGAAGTCTTTTACAACATTGAAATGTATGAAATAATCTCATTTCGAAATGTAAGAAAAATCGGTACAAGTCCTAGAAAGGTGTGGATACTTCGTGTAAAAGGTGATACGATTTAGAAGGGAGTAACAAACGATCACAATAACCAGGTTCACTGATTACAATGACAAGGGAATAATGAAAGCTTAGACATTTTATAATCATAAATTAATACTCGTATACATACCATGGGTTTCTGTGACCAAAATCCACGTTTAAAACATAGAGCTATCTCTGTTTTGTCAATGATAATGACAAGGAAAACATTATACAGAGATTGTGTTTGAGAAACCAATGGATATTCTCAATTTGTGGTTAATAGTCTAAATACGGAGGAGCGGTATGGACGTACTAAGTTTATTTACAGCCAATTATAGCTAACGTCAGTTTCTTTATTAGTCAAGAAAATATTTGTAATGTAAAAAGAACTGTATATTTCAAGTCATAATACAGATTACAAATCTTGTATACAGTGCAACTTCTTTCCCATTGGGATAAAAAGTATTACGTATTCATTTTTTACAACTTTGCTTTTCTAGCCAGTATTTGTTCTGCAGTGGTCTTTGTTTAATGACTTTGAAAACGTCACTTTAACAATGTTATAATAGCTGAAAATATTTTACAATTATTCTAATAGATTTTAATATAATATAATTTTTAAAAGAAACTATAGTATTATATTCCACTGCATTTTACACAATTTTTTGGGCAATTAAGACTAAAGGTGAGTATAGACAAGAGAATTTACTTGTAACAGAATAACGAGCCACTCTATGATTTGTTCTAGTGTATCAATGCTTTGGAAACTGTGCTTTACAGACAGTATTATACCATTCGTAAGAACGTTATATTACATAGAAATTGCGCATCACGCATCTGCGGTTCCTCTGGTCTTGTAGATGTCCAAGGGCGACGGTGATCCCGCTGCTCGTTTGTCCCCTAGTCTTATTAAAAAAAAAAACAGAAATTATCGAGAAAATGCTCTAGTGTATAATCACCTTTAGAAGTTTGAAAGTAAGGATAAACTATTCCGTGATTCAAAATTTAGGTTTACACCTTACTTGATTGAGTGTTTCTATTTTTGTCAAAATCTTTTCGTATAAAATAGGATTGTACTATTTAAATCTGGAAAACAAGGCTATTTTCATACAATACAGTTGTTAAGAGCTGTTTCGTAGGAAACCGCGAAAAGGTTTTGTTACGAAGCCCGCAATTTAGTTTTAATTGTAAACGGGGTAGCTGACTGGGACACATTTTCGCAAATTTAACTCAAAACTATTTGTACTATATTCAAATGTTAAACCTAATAGCTCATACAACTTGGGTTTGTAAAAAAAAAATATTTTTGAAATCTTACTCCGCTGGCGTAGTGACCCAAAGTGGGTCTTGGCTTCCGACACTAGAGATAGCCAAAGTCGCCTGCCCTGCGCTTTCTCCTGCCATACCATCGCTTGTAGCTCCCGCAGATCCAGTTCTACGACGTCTCGCCAGCGGTACCTGGGCCTATCAAATCTTACTAACTATATATAAGGCTGAAGATAAATTATGTACTGAAATTAATTTTCGAGAGTAAAGTCAATTTTCGAATTCAAATTAAGCGTCAATAGCCTAATGGTTAAGCGTACGGATTTCCGATCACGAGGTCGGGGGTTCGAATCCCGCCAATCGACTATTGTCGTAAACCATATCCTAGCACAAGCCTAGAGCTTAGTTGGAATGGTAAAAAAAACATTAGTAAATTTACAAAAAAATCTGCTAATATTTTAATGATGAAAAAAAAATCGATTTGATGGTTAATCTATAACTTTCCATCTCGATCTCAGAAAGCCACGGTAACTAATTTGAACGTTTAAACAAATTGCACTTCAACATATTTTATATCATAATGGATACAAAAACTAATACAAAATTTACCTGATGTTGAGTAACCTAGATAATAGTCTTCGTATATACTTCTGGTACTCGAAACAAGGCAACTAACTAGGCCGTTGTAACTCTACAGGAATGAAAGAGAAAATAAAAGGAAATCTTTTCAAATATGCATTAGTCAAATCTATGTCAGGATTCTTTCGCTTTGAGCTCAGGTAAAATATTTAACTAAGTAACTGCAGTTGCATAAGATGGTCGCTTTTCAAACATTTCCTTGTACATAAGCTTTACTTTAAAATTAAATTTATATACGAATATTTTGGTAAGTGAATTATTTTTGTTACTACTAGTTTTAACGTTAATTTTATTACTTTTTTTTCTTGTTTTTTCTAAATCATATTTAAAACGTATTTGAGAGAAAATAATAGAATATAACTAATAATACGTTTTGATTTTATTTTTCCTAATCTTATATATATAATTCTCGTGTCACAATTCGTTCCCATACTCCTCCGAAACGGCTTGACCGATTCTCATGATATTTTGTGAGCATATTGAGTAGGTCTGAGAATCGGCTACTATCTATTTTTAAATCCCGCGCAGACGGTGTCGCGGGCGACAGCTAGTATTTTATAAAAATAAAACTTTATTAACATTTTCACGTACCGTAAAGAACTCCGTATAAACACAAAATGTAAACTGATCTCCACTGAACACTAAGCTACAGCGGTAAAGCATGAAGAGAACTTTGTATATCCTATTTCACGTTCAATTTTCTTACATTATCAACGTAATTTTCCAGCATAGAGTATTAATATAATACAAACTCGCTTAATACAGCTTAGTAGTTACTAAACTGGGGATTTTTCATAAATATTTTCTGTTTTGAAATCTTAATTCTTACTCATATTATAAATACAAAATTAACCCTTATTGTGGCAAGATATCTTTTTAGAAGAAAAGCAAAAAAACTAAGTTAAAAATTATTTTATAGTGATCGTATATTTTTACAAAGTTGTATGTATGGTATACTATACAAAATTAACATAAGGGTTAAAATGGATGGATGGTTGGATGAACGGTTTTTTAGAAGGTGTCTCCGGAACCGCTGATGGATCTTGATGAAATTTGGTATAGATGTAGAAAATAATCTGGAAGATCACACAGGCTACTAAGCCTACAAATTCATAAAAAAAATTAAGTTAAATAGTAAATTTTGAATTCACATCGACATATCTTCTTCCAAACCCAGGAAATTGGCTAAATTACACTATATTGAATAGAATGAGATATCTAGTGAAGGCAGGATAATTGTGAGGGGTCCGGATACCAATTTACTTACAATACCGTTGGTGTCCTTAGTACATTTGTATTTGTTGAAGCGTTTTACGACTTAGGGTGCTTCAAGAAGTGAGCGTATCACCATCTTAAAGACCTTCCAGGGCATTGCTCATGTCCATGGGCGTCGTTGAACACCTTGGTGTTCTGGCTGCTCGCTTTCCCCTTCTGTATAATAAAAGCGAAGTAAATTATTTTTTTTTACAATTGACATTTTAAAATATAGTTTCAAACCTCTTAATAATTAATAATCAGACGGAGTAAATGCTTTTGAATGTTTATTAAAATTAATCCATAAACCAAACAAATCTTAAATAAAAAAATATTATAAAACTGACAAAGAAAATTATACACCAAACTTGAATAGTACAACAGTTTCGCCAATAACTTCTTATGTATTATTAAAAGCTTTATATACTTTAAGTATATAGATTAATTAGACGTAATACTCGTAAATCTATTAAATGTTATTTCAATTTAAATTTACTTAAACGATATCATTAGGTAGAGCTTGCAGTAATGCGGGCATTAAGGTAAATTGCTTGTCTGTAAACGATAGATAAAATGCCAAATGTCATCAGTGTTTTCGGGATTGTATAAATAAATGGTTGCATATTTAAAATAATTTACATAAATAAATTCACATTTATCAGAAAAATCTCTGTTCTTATCCTACTCTATGTGAGGTTGTCGCAGATTTTCGGTTTTCAGATCGATTTAATAATCGTCATCTCAATTCTCACTTCTTACTAATTTAGGTCACTTTTTACGTAATCTATCCATATCTTTATAGGAACACCGCTACCGGCACTGGTGTCGACGCGTCAGCAAAAGGAGTCTTTACAACATGGGATCCTAGGCGGTTATGTTGGCACATAACCTTAGATTTACCCCTACCGGTGTTTCTTAACATTCATATTTCAAATTCGCGTTGCCACGTGAAATTTTTTACACCTCATAACATGCCATATCAAATCATTTTTGTGCTAATATTAAGTATAATCTATATATGTAATAATCAATTGCTGTTCGTTAGTCTCCCTAAAACTCGAGAACGGATTTGTCTTATCTTAGTCTTGAAATGTTCGTGGAAGTCTAGGGAAGGTTTAAAAGGTGAGAAAAATTGGAATTTTTGCCGGGAACCGATTCCGCGCGGTCGGAGTCGCGGGCCACAGCTTGTGTCCAATAATTATCATCCCAAAAGAAATCCCAGAAGCAATCTTTGAAAAGAATGTAATTTGTCGATCGTTTCATATTTTTGGTTCGTGCAATTTATTTATAGGTTACAAATTACATCGGAGACTCTGTAATTATGAGTAATCAGACGTAGACGTAAGAGTGAATTTCCACTGCGTAAACATGAACAAATCCATACAAAGGAATTGGACCCCAACGAACTAAATATGTAGAATATCATATATCAGTAATGCGTCTAGAGACATTTCTAGTCTATATCTACGTCTAGGGTAAAGGTATACAAATATACTGAACTAGCTGTTACCCGCGACTCCGTATGCGTGAGATTACGAAACACCTTAATTAGCCTATGTGTTCCGGAGTGTGTTCTACATCTATGCCAAATTTAGCAAGATCCATGCAGCCGTTCTGGAGACACCTTCAAACATCTAACCATCTACACATTCACATTAATATTATTAGTAAAATTAAGAAACAAAAGTATTTCTTTAAATAATAATAATTCTCGATACCTATTTAAAAATGTAAAACGAAATATACTTCAGGATATCAATTTCTTTCGACGTACAATTCCCTTTCGAGTCGGAGAAATTTTTTTCAATTATATTCTCTGATTCCTTATTCATTTGAAGCTCAAGATGAAAATTTTCAATTGAATTTCGAACTCCAATATATTTCTCATCGTTAGCAGGTTAATACAAATATAATATCCGACATCAATACACCATTTGTTTATTTATTTCGTTTCTCTTTGAATTTATCTTATTCCTTTAATATTGGTTTATGCTAAAATTGTATTTTTGCATTTATTTATGACGATTTAAATGACCCATACTTTTGAAAGTGAAACTAAAACTGAGTTTTCTTTAATAATAATAACAAAAACTTCTTATCTGGAACCTAAGATGAATACATGATTTTTTTTTTGTCAGAAAGGCTATTTCTACTGAATAGAAAAGTTTTGTTTGTACCACACTGACTCTCACACCATTCGTCTGTATTATATGGACAGTTGCTTAGAAATTGCAACTTTTAATAATAACAGTAAAAAAATGTTTCGTCAGTTAAATATATTAAAAAAAACACTTTATTACTTCCGTAATAATGCCATTTTCAATAAACAAAAGAATTCCAATATTTTAGTTTTATTTTTCATTAACGTGTGCTTAAAATTAAGTTTAATTTATAAATTAAAATTTATTTATAAAGCTCGATAATATGTTCTAACAGATTATGTAGTGTAACGAGAAATTTATTTGGGACAAAGGAAATTCTAAACCATATTTCGCTTGACGGGTCTTAGTTGGCGCCGGATTATCCGAATTGTTGAATATCAAAATGTCGACTGTACTGTGCGACGCGACGGTTTAATCTATTGATTTAAATATTCAAATACTATCTTGGATTAAGCACAAATACAAATTGACATCTCAATTCAACGTTAAAGGATAACGTTATCTTATATAAAAATTATTAAAAAAGTAGCTGTCGTCCTCGCTGAATTAAAAAGACACTTAATGAGTAGCCTACGTGTTCTTCCAGAAAATGTTCTATATCTTTGCCAAATTTCATCAAGATTTGTTGAGCCGTTCCATACAAACATCCATCCATTAATTCACATTCGCATTTATTTATATTAGTAAGATAACCTCAAGCGATGAGCGTTGTGAACCGTTCACAAACACCGCTAAACGCTGGTTGATTTTCGATTTCTCGTCAGATTATAACAGTCATCAGGATCGTAATAAAAGGACAACAACTATATTTTCTTTCCAGAATAAGTGTAATTAAGAAAAGTAAGATCTTCGTCAACAATACCTACATGTATTTATAGTACACTTACTGACTTAATCTGAATCGCTAAATACTTATTTAAATAGTTTTTAGTCTAGTTTTTCATGCTAAATCTACGCTCAGGAACTCTCTTAGAAAATGTAGTCGAATATCTGAATGATTTCACGTAATAAACTCTTTGTGTTTAACCAGCAAATTCTATCGTTTCTCAACTTGATCATGAATCGTTTGCTACAGTTTTCAAACAAACAAACCTAGTCATAATTAAATGGTGATCCTTTGGTCGTGGAACAAGTCAATCCCATGAGAAGCCGACAAACTGAAGTGCAATTAAGCATTCTTTTGTTTAACAGCAACAGTAAAGCTTTGATACCGCAAATCGTCTATGTCTACAAGCTTAAATTAGATTGTCTAGATTCAACTGTGCTTAATAAATTTATAGTTTTTATTTACATGCTTTTATGTACTTTTACTTGTCTATATGTTTGTCATCAAATATTGAGAATTAAGAGTAGTTTTTCTTTTTTTTTTAATTTTTATTCGTTTTATTTTTTTTTCTTTTAACTTAAATCATTTTACAATTCTATTACCGGTAAGTTTGATAAAGCTTGTGTCACTTTACGACAACAGTCGAAAGTCGGGATTCGAACCCAGATTGGTAGTCCAAACCCTTAATCATTAGGCTATTGGCGCATGTTTCATTATAGGATTAGACTTTTTATTACGTTCATGTGATGTACCCAGCATCTGAAAGAGACACAACATATGCAATTAAAGACCGCATGAATAATTCAATAGTTTTACAATTCGACTTCATACTTGATTACCGTGTGATCTCAATTTTTTCAAGAACAAGGCTAATTTATTTTTATTTCTTTGGGGGAATGAAATGTCTGTCATGTAATTAGACTGCCAGTGTCCCAATTACACTACATTAGGCATACGAAAAGAAATAGCAATTAGCCGTTATAGCACGGTAGAGGATTAGTCGTAAATAAGTTATGTTTTATTAGTTAGCCTATATAATAGTCGTAAATAACTCATGAGATATTTATTGTATTATTTTTCAAACTGTTAGGAAGAAAATCCGACACTATGCCGGTGTACTGGCGCAACTCTAACCTTACTAAAATGTCGACGTTTATGTCCCCTCACTAATCATTCTGACACTTGACTTGGTGATAAAAATGCGCCATTCGCGCCAAAGGATTATAATTAATAATGTCTAAAAGTAATATATTTACAGTTCTAAAACACGTGTTTAAAAATATATGTTAATGGAATCACTCGCCTTTTCTTCTAAAAACAAAGATATTGTTTGCACTTTTTTGGTAGTGGCAGATGTTCTTTTTATAAAAATAATATTTTTGTTATAAAAGTTTAAATTAAACACTAACGGCCAAAATAAATATTCGATATCAAATTTTTTACAATCCATTTGGCTCAGGTTACATTACATGGTTTAGCGACTGATATAATTTTGTTGTACTGCGGATTTTTTTTCGAATTTTTCGATCTCAAAAATTGGATATCGGTTTCGGCCGTAAAATAATGCGCAAATTACGATACCCGATTCGGTAATCTGGGTCATTATGTGAATCGTATTTTCCCGAACTGGATTCTGTGAAATCTAGTGTAGTTCGATAATTACTATACATTTAGTAAGAAAATTCAGTTAAGCGGAATAATTGATTCGGGTTGGTTCCAAATAATACTAAGGTCGCGGGCACACAATTAGCTACGAGAGGGGCTACGTAATGGTGGAGCGGGGCTATATAAACAAAAGTATTAATCCGCTCCCGCTCGTTTCGTGCGCGCGGCTGTATTATTCTATAATTTTGATTTCATCGCCTTGCTCCGGTTATCGAGCCGCCAAATTCGTCGCCAACTTCGCGCCTCCTACCTAACAAAGTAGCTTTTGATTTTTTACTCAAATATGAAATCCATTTTTAAATAGATTCCAAGACAATAATAGAAGAAAAAGGATGAAATGTGAGATGGGAGAATGACGTCAGGAAAATATCTAGAATTTGGCTACGACATGACGAAGAAAGAGAAGAAAACAATTGTAAAAATTGTTTTTAAAAAATAAAACAATTTTTATTACTTACATATGAATAAAATTACCTTTAAGTATATAAAAACATGCAAAGCAAGAGCGGAAAGCAATAATCTTCGCTGAAGTCAAATATTGGCTTCGGTTGACCGCTGACTCGAGCGACCGTCGAAAGCAAATTTGCAGCGGTTCCTTGCCTACGGGAAATGTAAATATGGGAATAAAACCTTCAAGAACACTTCAACATTTCCAGTGAAGTATCGTTTTCTCTCTTAATTTTTTGTTAATAATAGCTAAAGTTAATATTTATAACCCAGGAGTCGACATTCACAATGGAACATACTTCATATGAAAACACATTAAAACTATGCAGATTAATATATTTGGAATGAATTTATGTATTTAATATCGAAAAAATAACGTTTTTCTTTTGCTGATAACGATAAACCAAGTTTTAAAATTTCGTCTGTCTATCCGAATCTGAGTTTCTTCAGGCAAAACTTCGCCTGGAAAGTTTTTAGTCTACTTCCTAATAAAAATTATAGGCAAATTGTTGCAGTTTTTATAAACCTTAATATTCGAAATATTTTTTAATCCATATTTTATTATTAACTTGACTAGGTATATAAAAATCTATCGTCATATTTTGAAACAATATGGAACTAATTTCTTTGCACACATTGGGAATGAAAAAGCATAAGTACTAACCCCTAGACAGGACTAGCACATTCTTGGTAAGGCCACAATTTTAATTAACTTATTCAAAATAGTACTTACGTTATTTTCAACAATGTGGTGTTGAAATTTATAAC